CGCCGCGAGTGTTGGATTCAGGTGTCCTCCTGGAGGACATCGATGGGCCCCCGAACTCCACTAACCACGCTTCCTGTCAGCGACTAAATGGATAGATGCGACCTGCATCATCAGCACACAATACGAGAATGAGACGTACATGCACTTACGAATGTCGGCGACGTCCCGGCAGGACCCTTCGTCTTCCTCGTACGCACGGGCTTCTGCTGGACCTCAGAGCTGGGCCCAGCCTCCGCGTTCTCCTGAGGCGCCGGCGTAACGGCCGGCGGTTGTTGACCGCCTTCTGCGCCTTCTTGCCAGCCTTCTTGGCGATGGTTGTCGGTCGCCGAGAAGGTGTACCCGCCGTCGAGAGCTGCGCCGGCTGCCGTGAGACGTGACCGAGGCAGTGTCAGCCCGGTCGAGCTCGTCGTCAGTCGTGGGCGGAGCTTCCGCCTCGCTTTGCGGCTCGTCGGTGCCCTCGGACTCTGTGCCAGAGCCGGCCGAGGATCGTCTCTTCGAGCCCTTACGCCCGCGGGACTTCTTGGGCTTAAACGTGCCCTCGGTGTCGATGGGCTCGCACTTCACCTTCTTGACGTTGCAATAGTCGCATGCCGGCGGTGGGTCCTTCATGGTGCCGTCCTTCTTGAATTCGTAGCCGTCCGGTGTTGAGATATAGCATGGGAAACCCTTGCATTGTGTGCACGGGTCGGGCTGCGTAAGATGTGAGTCGCGATGACACCAGGGCGGTATGAAACTTGCCTTCTCACGCCGGTGGACGAGCTGCCGAACCTTCCCCTCCACGTACTCCATCTCGAACTTGGCCCGCTCGCCGTGGACCTCCTCTGTCTTCTTCACGAGGATGCCCTTCGGCGGCTTTGAGCCTGGTATAGATGACGGTTAGAGTCCAACAATGGCAAGCTGAACACGACGTACCTTTTGCCCGCTTTTTCTTCGGGCGTTCCTCCTCATCCATCTCCTCCTCCTCTTGCTCGGTCTCCTCGTCCAGATGTCCAGCCGCCCGCTCGTTGTCGCCTTGCTCATCCTCGGGTGATCGCGCGCGCTGTTTGCCCTTTGATTTGCGCGTAGGAGTCGGCGCCCGCTTGCGCTTGGTACCCGACGATTCGGTCCGTCCAGGGCCCGGCTTCTTCTTGCTCGACGCGGTGTTTCTAGTCTTGCGAGGTGGGGTCTTCTCGACCTCGTCGACATCCATCCCGTCCTCCTTCACCGGGACCTCCTCCTCACCGTCGGAATCCGCCGCTAAGTCCTGGAAGCGCACCGTCGTCGAAGGCTGACGAGACGGGCCGGGAACGGGGGTCGGCGAGCGAGGGCGTTCAGGGAGGCCAGACGGCGCACGAGGATTGCGCCACGCCGAGGTGAGGACCCGTGGATCGTCCGGACGGATGCGGGACAGTTTGAGGCCTTCCCTCGGCGAGTGGTCCAGCTCGAGAATCGCTGAGAGCAGGAACAGCGGCACCATCGGCCGCTGCTCGGGAGGCTCGCCCGCCGTCCGACCGCTCACAACTGCATGGACCGCCCCGTACTACCACAAACGTCAGGGACCGAAAGAGCGATATATGTGCGTACTTACCACACATCAATGAACTCTCCAAGCTACAGGTGAATGGTTAGATTCCTGGACGAGCTTACATGAAGCCCTGGGTACTCACAATCTCCTCTGCCAGCGCCGCCTCATCCTCCTGCCTCACCAAACCATTCCCCATCATCTTCAGCAGCTTGGCGTTCGTGATTTCCAGGAAATGATTGAGGTGGGGGCGAGGCATTCTTAGGCCGGCAGGAGCCGGCGCGGTTGCTGACGTGGCGGGGGTGGTAGACGCGGCAGACATGGCAAAGCAAAAATCGAGCAGGGGCCGAAGCAAGCGTGGAGGTGCAGCGGAGAGGAGCCGGGATGAGAGAACGCGACGGTGAACGCGGAGACAAAGGAAGAAGAGCGCCGGCGATCACGAACTTAGCAGCCACACTGCAGCCACACGGCTCACGTGACTCCGGTTATGCCGCGGGAGCGCTAATGGGCGATCAACTTGGTGATCGCTCGCCACACCTCTTCCTCCTGACCACTTGCGTATCCTCAACCCATCGTATCGACAATGGCCAAGCAAGGTATGTCCCCGGCCCAATCGCCGGGGCCTACCACTCACAACTCTTCTTCCAGCCTCTCGCAAGAAAACCGGCGGCCGTGACGTGTCAACTCGTCGGCAGGGATCGCGTGGCGGCCGGAACGCCCGCCAAGCATCGAGAAGCCCAATCGGGCTTGATGATGAGGTACGTACCGCCGCGATCTGCTCATCACGCTCCAGTTGACGCATCCTCGGTAGCCGATTCACCCTGCGCCGGGTCCCAATGTTCACGGAGCAATACGGGTGCCGGTCACAGTGGCGGGCAGGCTGTCCCCGGCCGACTATTCAGCATTCCGAAGGAAGAGCCCGGCCGACTCTTCAACATTCCCAAGGAAGAGCCCGGCCGACTTTTCAATATTCCGAAGGAAGAACCTGCAGATGCGATTCTGGTATGTGGACTCATGCCGAGTAATTGAGCAATACTAACCTCCGCTACCTACCAGCCAATTGCCACCCACGCAGCATCCGGCCGGAATGTTCACGGACCGAGGACAGATGCCGGTGGCAGTGGGGAACCAATCGCCCCGGGCAAGTTCTTCAACATTCCAAAGGAAGAGGATGTGGAGATGGCCGTGGTACGTGTATTCTCGCCGAGCAGTTCAGCCTCATACTGACGGAAGCTGCTGCTAGCCTATTGCAGGTCCAGAGCGTGCTCGCTCGGCGTCGGTGGCTCCACGCCTATTTGGAATCCCGATGGAAGTTGATTCGGACGTTGGTACCGACGAGAAGGTGAGTCTCGGTTGAATGTTGACGGTGTGCATGTACTCACCAACATGCGCATAGGTGCCTGTCGAGTCGCCGCTGGCGACGGTGAGAAGGGGAGGAAGCTTGTTCGGCATCCCAACGGAGGATGAGATACCGGTAAGTTCAATGGTCTGTTCACAATGATTTTCGCTTATTTCCTGCCAGCAGGACATGGATCCGCTTGTCGCGAAGATGTTGGCAACAACACTAGCATCGCGGGCCGGGAGCTCCGTTGCACGTAGTGAGGTGTGTCATACCCACCGTTGCCCGAGCAAAGCAGATACTCACATTGCGCTCGGTGTAGTCGCCGCAAGAGCGTGTGCCCGCCGAGGTGGATGGCCGTGCGCACAGCCGGAAGTTATTCAACATCCCGATGGAAATCGCTGATGAGGTAAGTCCCGGCACTCACTCGGAGCAGCCAGAAACTCACTGCCGGTAGACCGCCACCGACGATCATGAGGGGTCCATTCCGCCGGGCCCGCCGAGCAAGGGAACGGACGAGCCGGCCGACGCTCAGAAGATACAAGCTGACGAACCGGCTGGGCGTGGCGCAAGGGCCGCAAGCTGCGAGTCCGACGTCGTGATCACCGGATACACGCCCGCACCACTGACGCACGCCAGGAACGACTCCGACATCGAGATCACGGATGACCGACCGGACAACAGGAGCACTTCGAGCGGCCGACGCCCTGATGGTAAGGCCCTCCGGGCGCCAGCCTTCCCTGAATTTTCAGGGTATAAGAAAAGCGCACCGGTGGGCCCAAGCTTCGGCGAACTCGGTTGGGTGCCACCGCCTTGGAGGCGTGACATCAGCCACTCGGACGGGGTTGCGGTATCCCCGGAGTCGGGGAGCAACGTGCTTGGAGGCGGTAGCCCCAGCACAGGTGAGGAAGAAGGCACCCGCAAGGACAAAGGAAAGTCCCGCGAGTTGCCCGCCGAGCCTGACAGGATGGTCCCTGCCAACATTACCAGCACCCTTGCTCCACACCATGAGCAAGACGCTGCATTTTTCACCTTCGATCCCACTGCGACGAATGTGTTCAATCCGGCTCCGGAAACCAGTACGTACTCAATTCATTTGCTCATACATGGACACGCTGACATCCATTTCTTTGTGTCAGATGGCGGTCTGACCGGCGCCATGTCGTCACGAGTGCTGGAGTTGGCCGCCGAGCGTGCCGCGGTGATGGCACACATCGATTCGTTGTTGGCACTCCAGCGCGCAAACAACCAAAACAGGGCGGCAGTAGCGTGGGTGAAGGAATGGTATCGCGAGGCGAGTGGTTCACGGTAGACAGATTTGTAATGCTCTGTACGACCGCCGTTGTTCAATGCATCACATACCTCGGCTGCAAAAATTAACTGGCCGTACCTACGTGAGTTGCACTCGCCGGCCGGACCGTCAGAATCCACGGCCCGAGGTTGGTACCTTCATCCATGTATGAGGCGATACCTGAGTCGCATTCGCCGGCCGGACCATCAGAATCCACGGCCCGAGGTCGGTACCATACAACGCCGAGGCCGGTACCTTCATCCATCACTGGGGCGATACCGAAGTCGCATTCGCCGGCCGGACCGTCAGAATCCACGGCCCGAGGTTGGTACCTTCATCCATGTATGAGGCGATACCTACGTCGCATTCGCCGGCCGGACCGTCAGAATCCACGGCCCGAGGTCGGTACCTTCACCCATAGTTGTGACAATACCTAAGTCGCATTCGCCGGCCGGACCGTCAGAATCCACGGCCCGAGGTTGGTACCTTCATCCATGTATGAGGCGATACCTACGTCGCATTCGCCGGCCGGACCGTCAGAATCCACGGCCCGAGGTCGGTACCCTCATTCATACAGAGCCGAGGCCGGTACCTTCATCCATCACTGGGGCGATACCGAAGTCGCACTCGCCGGCCGGACCGTTAGAATCCACGGCCCGAGGTCGGTACCTTCATCCATCCCTGTGGCTATACCTAAGTCGCATTCGCCGGCCGGACCGTTTGAATACACGGCCCAAGGGCGGTACCCTCATCCACACATGGGACCATCCCTGAATCCCTGGTGGACCGCCACCGGCCGGACCGTTGGGAATGGTGTATTATATATGGTGGCTGTAGCCCCGGACATCTGGATTGATAACACCGGCCGGACCGTTGGACACCATGCCTGCTGGTGACCGACCGCACCGTCTAACTCATGGGTGTCGTCCCTAAGCTCCGACCGGAGCCCCCACCCATGATCACCCCACTCGCTCCGGCCGCACCGTCCATTGAGAACATGCTGAATTCCCGGCCGCCACGTTGAGAATCAATGCTCAACGGCCGCCACGTTGGAATTCAGGGTTCATAGTGGAACCGGCTCCGGGCCAATCGTTTGATACGGGTCGGTCGGTACTCGGCCGGACCGCTAGAAGCCCGAGACGTGCAGCCCGGCCGGACCTCTGTATACGGCAGGTTACCTGCTCCGGCCGAGCCCGGGCCTACCGTTAGAAACGGGCCAAATGCACTCCGGGTGGACCGTTAGTAACGGTCAAGTTCCACTCAGTAATGTGGATAAGACTGATATCGCGAACTACCGCCCTATTACACTCTTGAATACGGACTACAAGCTATACACGAGCCTAATGAGTGGGAAATCACGTTTCGAACGGTCCACCCGGAGTGCATTTGGCCCGTTTCGAACGGTGTACCCGGGCTCGGCCGGAGCACTCCGGGTCTACCGTTTGGAGCGGCCGCCGCCAGCAACGAACCGGCCGGAGGGAGGGTGGTGGTTTGGAATGGTCCGGCCGGAGTGTTGGGTAACGTTCCGGCCGGAGCTCTGGTGAACGTACCGGCCGGAGGCCTCGAGAAATATGGGTTTCCTACGGTGCGGCCGGACTGTTATCCAACGTTCCGGCCGGAGCTCTGGTCAACGGTCCGGCCGGAGGCCTCGAAAAATTTACGTTTCCTACGGTCCGGCCGGACATATACCCAATGTTCCGGCCAGACCTTTGATCAGTGTCCCGGCCGGAGGCCTCAAAAATTTGGGCTCTCAACGGTCCGGCCGGGCTCATCACTAACGGTCCGGCCGGAGCACTCAGCAATGATTCAGCCTGGCCAGGGGTTGGTTTCGGACGTCTGGCCGGCCCCCAGGTGAAATGGTCCGGCCGGGCAAAATCCCAACTTCCAATGTGAACAGGCCGGCCGGAAGCCTTGCAAAATCTGGGCTGTAAATGGTCCGGCCGGGCTAGTTTCTAACCATCCAGCCAGACCCCAGATGAACCGACCGGCCAGGCTTCTCCCAGCCAGACCCCTGATACACTAGTAATATAACAACAAGAATTGTTAGTTGTAACAACCAAGCTCAATATTTAACCACCAAGCCCAGAGATGAGCCACCAAGCTCGGTATCAAACCACCGAGCTCAATAGTGAGCCACTGAGCACAGTATTGAACCACCGAGGTTAAACAGCTAGGCTCGGTGGCCGAGAAAAATTGGCCGGGCTCGGCGCCGAGGATTAATGGCCGAGGCTCGGGCCGAGGTTTTGAGCGCCGAGCTCGGGCCGAGGTTTCGAGCGCCGAGCTCGGTGAAAACCGCCGAGGTCAGTATCAAAGCATTGAGCTCAGTGTTAAGGGGCCCAGTTAAAGGGCCGAGCTGAGTGTTCAATGACCGAGTTTGTTGTTGAAGCACTGAGCTCGGAAATGGCCGAGGTTAAACCACCGAGCTCGGTGAAAAACGGCCGGGCTGTCAGATTGCCATATAAGGAAATTTGGTATCATCTGGTAGCCCTTCATTCACAGAGTACAGTATATGTTCCCTAGTGTACAGAGATGCCTAGTTAGGTCAGAGAATACAAAATAAAAAATGCTCACAGGCTTCTCTGAGAACGTACTATTCAATTCCTGAGGCCAGTTTTCTTTTCCCACAATGTTTGACTATCTAGAATGTGCTATTTCAATGCACAGACTACATCCCCAACAGGAATAGTCTTATTCTTTGAAGCTGAATGCAGGACAGGAGATAAGGGGTATACATGTTGGATAATGATGTTCACTCCCTGCAGCCAACATTCTTTCCAAATAGTGTTTGACTA